TCACTGAAGTTGATTTAACCCTTAGGGCCCAAGGCAAAGAAGCTGCTTAAATTCTTCACTTTTATTGGTCTCTGTGGGAGTTAGACTCCATGGGTTCCATGGAAGAATATACTGTATTTCTCATTTCTAGATCTCAGCTACTCAGTGTTTTGATATATGTAAGTTGGTGCATCTATATTCACAAGGGGATTGATCTAGAATGCCTTACAGCTTAAATGAACTTGGACTAAGGTTACAAATTAAGATGGAGGGAGGAAAGCATCAAACTCAAGCGCACTTGATCAGGCTTTCCATTTTAACTACAGAAAGAGATTTCCCTACTCACAGAGCCTGGCTGAGAGCAGACACTGAACATGTGGCCACAGAGGACAGGAGTGACCTGAAAAGATCTGGAATTCTCTTTGTAAGAATATAAGCTGTAACTTTAAAAAAAAATCCTAAGTTTCCAACTTGGCTTATAACAGGTGTTTGTAACATATGGACGTTTTTAAGGATTTTTCCTTAAGGACCTGTTTATATGAATTACTCCCATTGCACAAGACATTTCCTAAACATTCTTGAATCACTGGATTAATCTCCATCTCTTTTCTTCAGGGGATCATTTTCTTGATGAAAATTACATCTGTCAAAAGGAAAAAAGAAAGAATCAAACACTCTAATGGACTTTTATGTGCAGCATGCCTAACTTTTTGAAATAGGATGGTAGCTTTTTGCCACTCCTGACTTTTGTGCCAGAAACTGTAACAATCCTCCTCATAAACTGAAATTTCATATTTCAGTTTCTAAACTCAGCTGTTATGTACAGCAAAGAACACATCTCTATTAGACAAATAGAGTGAGAGTGCTGCAATTGCTACTCAGAAGAACACAAAACGCAGTGTTTGAAAGGGATGTAAAAACTCCCGTATTCCTCTGCAAGGATGTATACATGAATTGTCCAAAGCATCAAGTAAGAATGCATCACCAATTTCTTATCATGAAGCACAGGAGAACAGGAAATGGGAGCATTTTTATCACTTCCAAATACAGAGGCAGTTTCAAAGAAATGCTATTACACCCTGAAATACTTAAATATACAGCTTTCAATCTGTGTTTATCTGTGATCAGCTCTACTGGTACTTTATAATGGAAATTTTCTTATTAGTAAATACAAAGGCCTACTACTAAAAATAGTCAAATCGCCCCGAATAAAGAGGTTTTAAAGTTTATTACTACAGAAGAGACATTTCTCTGAAATCAAAATCTTCACTAGTTTCTGTAGATTTTATTATATGACTAAAAAATGAATTCTGTGTATACTACATTTTATATTCTCAGTCTGGAAACAAAAGAGCAATTGATAAAAGGCAATTATGCACATTTTTAATAGTTAAGCAATTCATGGGTTTACTATTTGATTATCAAATTTGTTATACTCTATACTCACATTTTTCTAAGGTAAAAGGTAGAACAGACCTTCAAATATTTGCTCCTTTTGCTATTTGCTCCTACAAATAGCAGTGGACTGCTGGACCGTCATAGGGTTACCTCATAGAGATGTCTTATAGGAAAATACAATATGAAGTCCACACTAGAAAACAAAGTAGAACTTTACAAGATAAAATTTTAAATACACAATCACTGTGTGATGTAGACTTTGAATCATTGAGCATTATTTTGCTGAAACCTATGCAGTTGCTGAAACAAATGTATTTGCAGTAGCACACTAGTTACAAGACAATACAGTGCATTTATAGGGAAATTGTTTTTTTTTCTGGTTGCCTGTAGATACATTTTTTAACTGCATATAAAACTTCATGTTTTGTAGATTATGGGTATCAGAATGAGAACTCAGTTTAGGCAAAACTTCTAGTTCAAAGACAGTGGAGATTAAAGCAGTGTTATAGACATAATTGGTAAGCAATATTATAGGAGTCATAGTACTTTCAGAGAACACAAAAATCTTTGTTCTGAATCCCTCTGGGTAATTGAAAATGTTAAGCTTTTAGCTTTGGTCTGTAAGAAACTTTACCCACGCTCTCAGTTTGGACTGTCTAGCTGAGCGTGAGCAGCTGAGATTCATGTACTACAGTGCATGGGTTTATGTGTGGTGGTCTGCCCCTTCTCTCCTGATAATATTGTCATTGGTTTTTCTTCTGAGGATAGAAACAAGTCACAGTCGCATTCTGCTAATGCTCATTTACAAGCATTTCGACAAACTCATGTGCAGGATCTTTCAGGTATAGGAAATTGGTGCAAAAAAAGTCCCAGGATGTAGATTGTCTCTATAGAACTGCTATTCCAAAAATTTCTTGACCATGGAAGAGGAACAAGGGAACACTGTTTTTACAGGCAACTACTCACAACCCTATGTTGGAGTTGGTTTGTATTCCTAGAATAGAAATCCTTTAACTGAGTTCTTTGTGACCTTATGGTTGCCAGGTACTTAACAAGTCAATCAATTTTTTAATTGCTAACTTCATCGTTAGTGTGAATTTCTCTAGAGAGATGAGATACTTGCTTAAGAAATATGTAAGATAAACCCAATTCCACATAGATCTCTAATTTACCTAATTTTTGTTTAATTCCAAATTTTTTTTAAGTCAGCTTTGGAATCCTAGTGACTTGAATATTTTGGTGACCTGGCAGCACAGCTGTATGTGTTTCAGTCTCATGTGGCCTGACATTCAGTTCATGAGAACTTCCGAAGCTGAGCCTGGAAGATTGCTGCACAAATTATTTGGATTTAGTGGTCAACAATTTTTTTTTTTTTTTAATGTGTCACACTAAAAAACTTTCTTGTATTAGTCTCACCCTTTTAATTTTGGTGCTGTTTTGCTGTTTACTTTGCCTATTTATATAGAGTAATAACATATAAGTCTGTTTCTTTTTCCTATGTGAGCCAAGTCATGGTACCAGATTTTTTCCTTTAGGTAAGTGAGAGATGAGTATGAACTGTGCCCAAGTCTTTATGCAGTCAGTGACCGTAACTTAGTGCTGATCTTTGTATTCCAAGGCTGTGTTTTCTCCACTTGACCACACTCTTTACAGGTCCAGAGATGTGTAAAAGAGGTTTCAAGACTTGTAGAGCCAGTCGATACTTAGTCTTATAGGCAGGAACTGGACTGTCAGTTGGAGGCAGTATCCCTGAGGACCCTATGAAGGATTCCTTCAGAGTTCTCAGCAGCTTTAACTTGATTTTCTCTGTCGTATGCTGTCAGATGCCACTTTCTCACATCCATTGCTTTCAGTTCCCCTCCACACAGATACTTCAGTTTCATCCTCCACCTTCATCATTTATTCTCCTCCCTTCTCAGCTTAACTTCTCCTTTTCCTGTTCCTCCTGAAATGGACTCATGCAAAAACAAACATATAAATATTTTAATATGGTATTAACATGATTATTTAGCCATCATGCTGGAGTCACTTTGCAAGCTCTGTTTTTATGTTAGCTCTGTATACGTGATTTTGATTGTGAGGTTTACAGGTGCAACAGTCTTTCAGTTGGTGTTTGCACTTCATCATTTTATGGGTATCCTGTCTATCAAATTGGAAGTTATTTAAGGCTGTAGATATGTGCAGAGCTTATGTGGGCTCATTATGCTGTAATAAAAAGGGACCTATTATGAGGTCAAGGATTAAATGAAGTAGGAATAGCAGGACAATTTTTGCAGCAAAACCTTTCATAGCAGACCTGTATGCTCACAATATGTTTGTTTATCAGACAGGAGAAAAAGATATGCTTCAAAATGAGAAATGCTACCAGCTGCAGCCAGAGTATTTGGAAAGTGACTGTTTGCAAGTTCCTCAAACTTGCTTCTTGATGAAAACCTTCCTTTTAGGGGTCATCAGGTGAATTTCAAAAGCTTTTACAGGTATGATACAAGTAGAAGATATTTAAGTTAATAATTTTCTATGTCTGAGTTTCCATAAATTTAAAACTAATATGTTAAACCCTCAAACCTGACCTAACTTTGGCTCCAGTTCTCCTATGTGTTGCTTCCTGTAGTCCTATTGACCTGAGCAGGACGCTGGTTACTAATAAAACTTTATTTTTTAAATGTATAATACTTCAATGTTTTCCTAGTCAGATGCAAATTTGTAACTTGAGTAATCTTCTATGGATGACATCTGTCATGATTTTGAGCAAATTTACATAAACCTCTTGTATTTGACTCTGGATAAATGTATTCCTTCTTACACATTTGTCTCACAGTGTTGTGTCTTCACATAAAACCTCTCATCTTTGATTGACTTACCATTTAATTCAGTGATGTGCTCCTAGATTGAAACAGAGTGAGATACAGGGAATCAATCAGAAACAGGAAAGTGTATCACTGTAGTAATTTCGGAGCAAACTCCTCTTCCCTCTAAATCCAGTGACATCAGTGTTATTAAGTTAGAAATGAGTTTAATCCTCTTCATTTAATTTGATTAATGCTTTGTGTATAAAATCTGAAAAATGGTTAAGTGGTATTCATACTTGTCATTGTTTATTTTCACACATAAAACAAGCTCAGTCTTGACGATCTGTTTAACAAATTCAAGGCTGTTGTTAAAACTGCGTGTAAAAATGAAGTGGGGAAAGAATTTAGTGGTGTTTAATCTGGAAAAAAAAAATTTAGTTTATGAGCACTTTCGCTCTAGCAGCAGATGCCCTGAATGTTACCCCACAAGAGGTAACACAGAAATCTGTTGAAGTGAAACAACCATTTGCAAAGCCCCCACATTTAGAGTCTTCTGCTCTTTCAGAACACTGTATACTTCAGATGTTCCTTTCAGTTATAGTTTGTCTTGTATAGGTCACTTCTTCAGTTGGTTTGAGAATGCATAAGCTACTTCAGGAAACTGCAAGTGCGATTGAGCTGAAAACCGATAAACACTCAGGTAGTCAAAACTCAGGTCTGACTGCTTATATCATCAACATCCCTGGGCTCTTCTTTCTGCTTGCTTTTATTGTTTTAATTTTTATTTCTGCAGGCCTGCTGGGGATGAGGGGCAGACTGGGAGAGCACCTGCAGCAGAACTGATGGAGCCGAGGCTCAAGAGGAAACTTTCCATTGCTTCAGAAGTTAAAAGCAAATCTCAAGAATGGGGTGTCTGGATGTAGAGCACATGTGAACTCTTACTGTAACACTTTCAAATACTCCTCCTACTGGTCTCCTCTAGATAAGTAATTGCAGTTTAGAGGGAACCTATTTACTTATTTGCATTAGGAGATAGAGTTGGGATCAACTCAGTAAAGTATAATTTATTGAAGGTTAAAGTATCTATCAATTATTTATGTGTTATTTTCTTCACAGTACTTCTGTGAGATGGAGCAGTATGAGCCTTATTTCCATGTCAGAACAACTGAGAAAGAGACATGTATGCTTAGGGACACGCAGGGAATTTTTGGACACCAGTCCCAGATTTTCAAACTCCATTATTTTAATCATTAAATCGTCTTCCTCTCTTCCCTACTGATACATTTCTGAAATTTATTTTATCAGTCAAGGATCGCTTGCCAACTTAACAACAGAGAGCATATCAGTTGAAACATTTTAACTATGAGTATTTAATTTCACATCAGTAAGTGGCATTACAGGAAAGAATCTGCTTCTGAAAGATAAAGCTTGCTTATATCTACGAGTAATTTAGCAGATAGCTGACATCACTTTTGGTTGCTTTTCAAATAATTATGTGGGCAGGTAATCATTGTGTAAACCAAAGAAAGAACTAAACTGAAAGAAGGTCTGAGGGATCCATGTGTATTTACTGCAATGAATCATCATTATGTGCCCTCTATAAAACCCCATCTGCTGTTAGGTTGCTAATGCCAGCAAGTTTTATTACAAATACTACTTTTAAAAAATACCTAATCCACTAGCTTCAGTATTAGTGCAGAGAATTATGGTAGAGATGTGTATATTATGCACATTATGCAACTCAATATATTTATAAGGGCAGTAATACTATATTTGAATTCATCTTAACACAGAGCAGGCAGAACAATAATGTAAGTATCCATCTTGTGGTTCACAGGGCTGAACTGAGAATACTAAGTGATACATTGTAGTTTACCAGGCATACCATTTTCACATCAAGATTTTTAGGTAGGTAAAATAATCCTTGTAAAAATGCAATCCCTGTAAAAAAAAAAAAAAAAGCGCTTTAATCATCCAGGAAATATCTACTCAGTTATCTCTTTGTGGGTAAAGGAAGTGCAATAAAACATTATGATCTTAAACGTAAGAAAGAGGAGACCTTGGCTGGGAAAATATCTTTAAATACTACTGAAGACTTACATACGACATATCACCTTCGTAGTAAAAAACAGTTTAAAAAAATAGTTTCTATGCCATCCTTGCATTTCTTTTGAGTTTGTTTTTATTTGATATAAAAAAAAAAACCTGATATATAGTTAATGCAAAAATAATCATGAGGTGGAGATGGTACTAATCTCAATAAATTCTTCTGACCAGGACAGGCTGATTTAAGTATAAAACTGCATTATTACCTTAGCCATATTTCAGAACTGTAGTGTCTATTGGGAATTTTTATTTAGCATTCACTGTTAAGACACTTCTGCTGAAAATCCACCATTTTAAAAATCTTGCTAAATATTTATCCTGTATCTTCTTATCCATTCCCAAATCTTAGGAAAATCCCACATTTCCAGTTCAGTTTCCCAAACTTTACGTTGTATTTTTTAGGACATAGCTGTCTCTTTGGAGGCAAAAAATCAATTTTATCTTTTACTTCAGAGGTACCTCGATAGTTGTTTTGAAGCTATGTGTCCAATATTACCAATGGGAAAGAGGTGTTAGGATCCATCAACTGCACCATGTGTTATGCTGTGGGAAACTGAAAAAAGAGTTAAATTTATATATGTTTAATAGAAGTTTCAGAAAATAGTAATAGTGTACATCATTTTCATCTTCTTATGTAGCTTTGAAGTTGGGAGTAATGTGCTTAACTCCTGCCATTATTGTACATTTATGGTTGGGCTGTTTGTATACAGTTTGCAAATAAAAAGAGTATTGATAAAGAATGTGCTGTAGCCTGTAAGACTTTGGAGACATGACAGTGAGCCACTAGTCCCCAAAGTTTAGAGCTGTCAGTTTAGAAAAGCAGATCCTCACTTTTTGTGGAAAGAGTTCCATTAAAAGCCTTCTTCAGCAGGAACTGTATGGCATTAACACAGCCATATTAATCTCTGTATCATTAGAAGCCAACAGTCCTGAAAAGAACAGTATTACACTTACCTGAAATACTGTGAATGTCTTTCCTCCTAGGTGATACACTTAGCTTACCACTAATGTGCTAAGCATTATGCTATATTAAACATTATGCTTATGCTATTTCTGCTCTCTCTATTAAAACCTAGAGCTTTGTAATCACCAGGGAGTTTTCTATCTATATGATTTTCCATGTCTGTTGGCTAAATTAGAGATCCAGATGCAAAATCTAGAGCTCATAAACATTAGGTGGATTTGTGAGTGACAGTCCCTGGAGGGCTTTAGGTCCATAATAAACTAATGAGACATAAATATAGTGGAGTAGGGAAGGGTATTTTTATCTGTGATATACTAACTAGTTCCAAACTTCTTCAGGTCATTAATGGAAAACTGTATCAATTTTCCTAACATCAGCATTACAAAATTTTGCAAGATAATTAGCATCTTTATGAATGAATACATTATGATTTGGAACTGTAACAGAAAAGTAATTTGGCATCATCTTTTAAAACTTTGTAGTCTTAATATTAGTCAGATGGGCACAGCTTTCCGCTAATTATAATGTAAAGACTTAGAATGGAAAGGGAATTGTACATTCAAGTGTAAGATGATGTGTTAGCATTTTGTGACATGTGGCATCCCTGTTACTGAAGTAAGAGGCATGTCACAAAAGCAATAATGATTCTGCTGTATGTCATGCCACAAGGTAGCAGTGTTGTGGTACAATCTTGATAATTTTCTGATGCAAGTCACTGAGCATGGGATCAGTTCTGCTCCCAGCAAAATTGACAGAAGTTTTGCTGTTGACTTCTGAGGACTGTTTCCAGAACAACCAGGGAAACCTCACTTCAGTGATTTATGTGCAATGTATTGACAAATATCACCATCCCTACTACATAATATTTCATTGATTCACTATTGGACAAATACAGAGGGAGTTAAAAGGATAGAGAAAGGCTTCTAATTGATAAAAAAATCAGAATTTCGTTTTGGTTTTCTATGTTCCTGCATTGTTCTAGTAGCTGTGAAAGTGAAAATTACTCCAACAGCAAGTGGAAGCATGAGATAAAAGTGAGCAATACGGTAATTAAGTGAATTTTTTATTCCATCAGTAGGAATTGAGAATATTGTTCAGGCAAGCAGCTTTCAATATGTGCTTTTTTTTATTAGCTAATTTTTCTACTGTTGAAGGCGTGTGTAATCAGAGATGAAATTTTTTATTCTGAAGATCAAGTATTGTGGAAGGTCAGTAGTTGTCTGGTGAAAATGACACATTAGTTCTATTTCATCTATTGTGTTAACACAAGCAGTTGTTTTTAACTAAGCAGAACAGTATTTTTCTTTCCAGACAGAGTCTTGTTTGCTGGGCTTCTGCATGTTAATGGCAATTCATTTTCACTGGAGGTGAAGGGACCCACTGTGTTTCAGATTCTTTCATGCTAATGAATAGTATAATGTAGAGAGAATTATTCAAGATTATTAGTTTACACAGGGACAAGTGGATGAAAAAATGTGTTAAAGGTTTATGACTGAAATAAGTATTATTATAGTGAAAATGCTTAAGCCTGCCAATTGCTATCAGTCTATCAATATATAGAGAATAAAGCTTTATGATGTGGTCTACAGATTTTATTGGAATGAAATTAATATTGTAAACTATACATAAGTGGCAAACTGATGACAGATTAGAGATCAGGACAGATGGTCCACGCTGTCTTCTGCATGGAAATTCTCTACACATATGTGATACAAAAGGTGACTGAGGAAGCATTTATTGATTATGTTCAAGGTTGCTTGTTAACATAGCCTTAAAAGAATATGTTTTCAGTAGGTTGTTTTCCTGCAATACCTGACACGTTTGATCTGAAACGTGAAGATGAAGTCTATGAAGGTGAAATTATATGTAAAAATCTTTTATACAGATAATCCTCATTAGCCAAAATAACTCATCTTTTGCTTTAGGGGCCATAGGGAAATATTGGTTTGACTAGATTTCAAATAGTAATGAAATCTGATAATTTTGTCATGAAAATTTACCATGTCCATTATCTGCAAGTTTTGAATCTCATATGGCATCTTTCACCACACTTCTAAAAAGATGCCCTTGCCTGAATCTCAGGGCGTCAAAGGAGAGTCATAGGACTCTGACATGCTAAATCTAAATTCAATTAGGATTCCTTCTATGCCAAATATATGCAAGGAGTAAGCAACAGAAAGAGAAAGAAGTAGACAACACTCTGTCTGCTTGCTACTAGGGAACCAGTTTTGTGCCAGTGTTGGGACCAAAATGAGGTGGACAATTCCAGTTGTGTCTATAAGGCTTCTCCTGCTAGGTGAAGGGAGAATGAGTGGTAAAAGTTAATGGTACAGGTGGATAAAAGAGAAAAACAACTAGGGAAAAGAATACATGGGCAGGACAGGAAGAGAGGGTGAAGGCAACAGTAGAACAGAACAATACAGGGAGGTGTGGATTGACCCTGGCTGGATGTCAGGTGCCCACCAAAGCTGCTCTGTCACTGCCCTCCTCAGCTGGAGAGGGGAGAGAAAGTAGATCTAAAGGCTCATGGACTGGGATAAGGGCAGGGAGAGATCATTCACCAATTACTGTCACAGGCAAAACAGACTTGACTTGGGAAATCAGTTTATTACTAATCAAATCAGAGTAAGATAAACCTAATCTTAAAACACTTTTCCCTTACCCTTCCCTTCTTCCCAGGCTAAACTTCACTCCTGATCTTCTCTATCTCCTCCCTCCAGGCAGTGCAAGATGATGGGGAATATGGGTATGGTCAGTTCATCACACATTCTCTCTGCTACTCCTTCCTCCCACATTCTTCCCTGCTCCAGTGTGGGAGCCCTCCCACAGGAGACAGTCCTCCATGAACTTCTACAGTGTGAGTCCTTCCCATGGGCTACAGCTTTTCACAGACTGCTGCAGTGTGGGTCCCTTCCGTGGGGTCACAGGTCCTGCAGCGAATCTGCTCCAGTGTGGGCTTCTCTCTCCATGGGGCCACAGCTCCTGCCAGGAGCCTCCTCCAGCACAGGCTGCCCACATTGTCACAACCTCTTTCAATATCCCTCCGCTCTGGCATGGAATTGTTCTGGGGGTTCAGGTGGATATCTGCTCCACCAGGGATGCTCATGGGCTGAGGAGGAACCTCTGCTTTGGCCCCCGGAGCACCTCCTACCCTCTTGCTATACTGACCTGGATGTCTGCAGCATTATTTCTGTCACATATTCTCACTTCCCTCTCTGCTGCTGTTGCTGTGCAGCAGGGTTCCCCCACTGTCCCTTCTTAAATACATTATCCCAGAGCTCCTACCACCATTGCTGATGGGTTCAGCCTTGGCCAGTGGTGGGTCTGTCTTGGAGCTGGATGGCACTGGATCTGTCGGACACACGAGAAGCTTCTGGCAGCTTCTCACAGAAACCACACCCGTAGCCCCCACCACTACCAAAACCTCACCATGCAAACCCCATAGAGGAGGTTCTGAGTGACCTAGGTATTAAAAGAAATAGGAAACTATCAGCAAGGCAGAAAAGATGTCTGCCTTTTGCAATGACTGAAATAGTTATCCTGAGGGAAAACCCCAGAAATTATAGACACGCATAGGCTATGTCACCGTACTGTGTTCTAGACGTGGAGTCCAGGTCCAGCTACCACTGTGATGGTTTAGAATAGCCAGCATGTGCACATAAAACCCTATCACACAGCATAAGTGGAATGAAAACAAATATGGGTTCAACTGAAAGCTGTAGTCTTTGCACTCCATAGCTACTGTGACTTTCTGTTTTTTATCAATCAATCGCAACTGTTTTCTGAATGCAGTGACATATATGTTGAGTGGCAAATAATTTGATCCCCAGTTCAGCCTGGAAAGGTTTCCTGAAAGAGTAGGAGGACTCACAGAGCCATCCTGGTAACTTGCCAGTGCACAATGGTTCCGAGACAGACAGATGGCTCAAATTAAAAAAATATCCAGAATTCTGTACTCCTGATTTTAAGTTTCAGATTGATTTTCCTAATCTCCTTTGAACAGCAGTGATCTTTTTGATGAACAGTTGATGATCTCAGATCATCAAATCTCACTTGAAAAAAGATTTTCAACTATGGGTTGATCTTTCTGTCCCTTGTCAGTTATGTCCTTATTTCAATTATAAAGTCATGCTAGAATCTATGTCTGTCCATAAAGACTTCCTATTTACTTCATGCAGCTCAGTTTTCTTCAGTGACCTTCAGTAAATAAAATTGAGCGTCACTTGTAGCCAGTCAATAGAGCATTGCTGATCATGGCAATATCTAGCCTCAGAAAGATGGGAATGCAAATGGTTGGTTAGCTAGAATTAGTTAGCTAGTAGTTAAAGTTACTACTTAACTAAGGTTGTAGTTAAGTAGTAGCTAGAACTGTTGGCTGATACAGATTATTTTACCATTTCAGACAAACTGGGTATGCAAAGCTGATTGCTAGTTGGATAGGGGATCTCCAAGGCAATTTCTGCAGCTGATGAAAATTGTATTGACTTGATAGAAGCAAATCATTCTTGAAACCTGTAAAGCAGGTCCCTTGATACACTAACATGCAAAGCCTTGCTAAAAGCTTTGTATTTGTATGAAATCTAAACCAGAATTCCTGACACTTACAGACATCAGACTTCCCTGAAATTTGGGTTGGTTTGTGTTTAGAGATGTATGTGAATGACAAACTGGACCCTGCCGCAAAAGGTGTGGCTCTGTATCTGTGTGTGTGAAGCTGCAAATAGGACTCTGTTCTCTATTTACTGTGTTGTGACGACTGTGAAAGGCAGAAGTGTAATCAGAGAAATATTCTACTGAGCATAAAAATATTTTGCTGGGAAAAGTGTGAACGATGAGCAATTCTTTTTTCCTTTTTTTTTCTTTTCTCTGGGAAATATTAGGATATTTCATATCCTAGGAAAAGATAAAAAGTGTTTGCCTGGGAATCTGATCTGTTCTTTTCAATTTCTAGTCTCCCTTTAGTTAATCTTCTGGGGAAGTCAGTTCTTTGGAAAATAGGAAACCTGTCTCTGACAGAGCTTTGATCTTTCCCCTGTGAGAAACATCAACTTTTGTTTCCCAATTTTGTCTGTATTCATGACTAGTAGGAGACTGAAGTCTCTACTTACCAGAGACAACATATTTCTATCAGATGAGAGAAGGAGAGACCCTAGCTCTGGATGATCTTTGAACTCTGGGCTCACCTTTTTCTCGTCTTCTTTCACTTTCTCTATTACTTAACTATTCAACACAAAGTAGCAATTCACTTTTACCGAGAAGCAGATTTAATTCCCTCTTTGATTCAGCCAGCCAATCTTTCTTCCGGCTCACTGCCTAGTACCCTTACAGCCTTAATTTGAGATTGATTGTATGTAATTTCTTTGAACCTCAAGCCTAGCCTTTTGCACTGAAGCAAGACAATGTCCACTAAAACTCAAAGCACTCAAGCACCTTCCTCCTCAGCACCATTCCCCTTCCTATAGAAATCCAGCACTATGGGTTACAGAAAAAACATACATGTTGCTGGCTGGGTACACAGAATAATAGGTGAAAAGGAAAGGGAAAAGAGCAGGAATAATATACTTCTGTGCAAAGATAAAACTCATCTGAACCTCTCCAATGATTGTAGAGTACCCATGGGATGGAACAGAGAGAGAGATCCTTCTATTTTACTCTTGTAAAGAAAACCTAAGTTGTTTAAAACCTCTTTTTCCCACTGTCAACAGAAACATCTAGTTTGTACTCCTTGACGCATATGCCCTGCAGGACCAGAAATCTTCTGCCAGGAGCAACTGGGGTTGTACAGTGCAGCATAACTGGATAAGAAACTTTGCTGCATAATGTAACTAGCAGTTGTACTAGAACTAGGTATGCTTAACTGACCAAACCTCAACTTCAGTAATAAAATTCTTTCTAAAATATCACCTTGCAATTTCTGTCGACAGTATCTCCTTTCATCTTAGTCACCAAAAATAAATTAAATACTTTTACATCCTGCAGTTTAGAAATGTGATTAATTTTTATGAATACATTTTTTTAGCTCCATCTCTTTGGTTT